CGTGCATTCGCATAGGTTATAGGCTAATATAATATATATATATATAGATATACTAGCCTATTACCTGTGCTATGCACGGATAATTATAAAATTTATGATATTAATTTAATTTTTATATTTTAAATAATAAATTTTATTTTAATAATAAAATTTTGTATGAAAATAGTCAAATATTAATTTATATAAAAAATAAACTATAAATAAAAATTCGGTAATTAAATCAAATAAAAAAAATTAAGTAAACGAATCAAAATTTCACAAATATACTATTACAATTTAAATTCAAACATAATAGAGATAAACAAAAATAATTAGTAGAAAATAAAATAACACAATAAATAATTTTAAAAAATACATATACAATAATAATGAAATATTAGAACATTATACTCGAAACTAAATAAATTAGTAAATAAATATATAATAAGAATAAAAAGAATGATTAGCACAAAATTAAAATTAATTTAATAAAGTTGTTATATATAATAAAATAAATAAATAAATAAAAAGACAAAATCTAATTTTTCTTTCTTTCTCTTTCTCTTATATTTTTTTTCTTCTCATTCTCTCTCTCTTTTTTTTTAAAGATTTTTTTTATCATAGATAAAAAATTTGATTAGTAAAAATTGTCATATAATTTAAAATTTATAAGTCAGAAAAAAAATTTATTATAAAATTTTCACTGTATAAGGAATGATAGATAATATATAAAAGAGGTAATAATATTTTTTCATGTGAAAAATCATTCAGTTCCTTTCAACGATAACAAATTATATGCGTAAATAAAATACGAAAAAAAATAATCAAGTGAAAACCCTTAAAAAAGGTAAAAGAAATAAAAAAAAATCACGCGTTGTCCAAACCAAAAGTAGATAATTCACAATAATGAAATAAAATATAAGATTTTTTAAGAATACATGTAAACATGCTTGATCATCGTTAAATCAACGAACAAAAATCATATATTTAAGAAAAATAAAGATAAAAAAAAAAAAAACAAACATAAAAACTTTGTCATTCTGGTCAAACTAAGTGTATCCAACCAATAATCCCAACGTTTAAAAAAACAACGAATTACGAACACTTCTTGAAAATTTCTGATTGGTAGCGATTGCCGTTTTTCCGAACCTGCTCAATGTTGGACGAAAATCTCATAATTATTTTTGTTATGGCAATTTTGGCTTAATCTCTTGTGTATATATAGATATATAAAACCCTAATTTTATAAATATTTTCTTATTTATTATTTCGATAAATCTGGATTTTGTTAGATTAATTAGTTGTTATCCTAAAAAATTTTAACTGATTATTCAAACTTATTATTTAAAAAATAAAAAAATTCTAAAATGATGAGAGTTTACGAATTAAAGTGACTTGTGCTATATATATTAATATATATGCAATATATATAATTAGATCAATCTTAATTGTGTAATCTCGACAAAATCTAGTACTAAATCCAAACAAAATAAATAAGTAAAATATTGAAAATATTTGTCACTAAGATTAATTTAATTTATTATGAATAGTTTGATTGAAAATCTTATGGCCTTAGGACATCCGCATCGGGGGATCTTTCCCTTGTAGAACCCTCCACGTCATTGCCACATCCTTAAAAGAAACCAAAAATTTTTTCTAGGTTGCTCTGCAGAGCAACCCACAAAATTTTTTTTTTTTTTTAAAATATTATTTATTTAGTTATTTATTTTTATTTTTTTATATTTTTGTATTATATAAAATTTTATTCTCTACAAAATGATATATATTAATATAATTTTATTTAAATTTAATAATATTATTAATTATTTTAATATAAATTAAAAAATATATAATGAGGTGGAAGAAAGAGATTGTGAAATAAAAAAAAATAAGTATGAGCTGGAAATTTTTAGAAACTTTTGGAGAGTTTCTTTGATAAGGATGGGCTTAGTATTTAAAGATTGTTGTCATTTTATTTGTACAATTTTGAGGTAAAAAAATGGCATTTGGTAATGATTGTACTTTTAATTAATACTTATGTCTTAATCACATTTTAATTGATTTGACGTAATTGTGTGTGCTTTATAAAAAATTCCACTAGCAAGTTAAAATAAGTTAAGAGTCAATTTATTGAGGTATTTGGGATTTGTTCGGTTCTGTTTTGAGGTTTTGGGATATTTCGACCGTTTTGTTGTCACTTCACTTAGTCGTATGAGTTAAAATATCTATTATGATGTAACTTTAATTGTGTTTGTATTCTGAAACATAGCCGACTCATGTTATTTTGGAGTTCTGAAAAAAAAAATAATAGGTTCTATATACAACTTAAATATATAGTATTTTTTAATTTTAATTTTAAATTATAAATGTAATGTTTTATTAAAAATCATAACATGTTTTTATTTTATCAAGATAATACTGTGATTTAGGCAGGGTTTAATTTAAGGTTGCACAATTTGGTTTGTCTCGAGACAGAAAAAACAACCAAAATATTAACAAAGCCCTATATACAATATTCATCCAAATCAATCTAATTAATTTAGTTCACCGACCCGTCGTTTTTTCACTCATCAATTAATCGCTTGCGTGAATAACCGATTATCCAACAAAAATAAAACATTTAAGAAATAACAATATTAAAAGACAAATCTAAAAAATCTGTCACGTTCGGTAAATTTTTGATCGAATTGCAGATATCCAATCAAAAATTTCACCGTTGGATTAAAAACACAATGAATTACGAACACTTCCTCAAAATTTCACCGTTGGATTGAAAACACAACGAATTATGAACACTTCCTCAAAATTTCAGCTTGATACAACGGTTAATGAAACGAGGATCGCCATTTTTTTCAATAAATTTTAATTTTATTAATATTATTTAAAAAAATAAAATACTTGTCAAATATATACAGAAATGTGAATATATGATTTACCCGCATTTGCGGGAAAAAGATTTTAAATTTATAATTATTGAGAACTTATTTAAAATAATGTATGTGGCAGGAATGATTAAATGATACGACTATATTGCGAATTTAAAAAAAAAAAATTGAAAAAATGAGTATTGATATAGTTATTGATAATTTTGCCACGCAAAATATTAGAAGAAATTATATTATTTAAAATTTTATTTTTTAAGATAAAGATTCTTACGTTGATCTCGCACAAAGCTTATTAAAAGTTAAGAACGCTGTTCGAAGCCTCAGGTCATCTGCCATACATAATTCGCCGGCTGATCTTTACGTATTAAAATATATTATGATTTCAGTACTATAGTAATTTGATCAAATATTCAAATAATTATAAAAAGTAGTAGATATTAATACTCCCTCAATCCCATAACAAACTATCTATTTTTTTTTTTATTTTAGTCTGTATTATCTACCTAACATTAAAAATACATTTACAACTTATAATATATTACATAAATGTCATTATCTTTATATCAAACTAATACATATTTATGAGACGAAGGGAGTATAATATATAGCGGATATTTTAATAGCATATTATAACATAACATATGCTAATTTTCTATGATAAAATCCTATTATTCTAAATTAATATGCTAACACATTTATGTGTTGTGCTGAATTTTAAATTCAAAAATGTTAGAAATTTTGGGGGAAAATAATGAAATTGTCTTATTGATCATCAAAATAAGGAGCCTATATATAGGCAATACAAAACATACTCGATAGACTCAAATCTAAGTAATCTAATCTATGAATAAGATCAAATCTAGATATAAATTTACTAAATCTAAAACTGAATATCTAAAATATCTCAACATCCCTTTTCAAACTAAGTGGTATAACAAAAACCAACTTAAGTTTGATGAGAAATTTGAATATAAACGTAAAAAGAAAACATAAATAAAATTAGCAGTTGACTTTCCACCCACCGGAGCAAAAAACGAGATGACTCTCCACCGGAGTCGAAAACGAGATGACTCTCCACCGGAACAAAAAACGAGATGATTCAACTGGAGCCGAAAATGACATAACTCCACCGAAGCCGAACACGAGATGACTCTCCACCGGAGCCGAAAACAAGCCGACAAAAGAGATGACTCCACCAGAGTCGAAAACGACATGACTCCACCGGAGCAAAAAACGAGATGACTCCACCGGAGCCGTCGAAAACGAGATGACTCCACCGGAGCCGAAAACGAGACAAATCGCAAACATCGGACAAATCAGATGGCACGCAGGCAACAAACAAACAGCGGACAGATGACAGATCATAGACAGATTTTCGGCAACAAATAAGTAACGAAAGATGACAGATCGCACACAGGCAACAGACAGACAACGACAGATGGCAGATCGCATGCAACAACAGACAGACAACGGATATATGACAGATCGGCGCAGGCAACAGACAAACAGCGGACATATGGCAGATTATAGACAGATTTTTGGAAACAAATAAGCAACAAAAGATTTCAGATTGCACACAGTCAACAGACAAGCAGACAGATGGCAGATCGGGACGAGACGAGACAGATTTGCAAAAAGACAACATGCAAAGGCATGATCTCAAAATCACAAGACCTCCGGATACAATCCGAGTTGAATGTACCTGGAGAAATACGAGTTGGTAGGCTATATCTACTGCATGAGAAAAATAAACTCTTATATCATTTTAGAAATTTTGGAGGAAATAATGCGATTGTCTTATTGATCATTAAAATAAGGAGCCTATATATAGGCAATACAAAATATACGCGATAGACTCAAATCTAAGTAATCTAATCTATGGATAAGATCAAATCTAGATATAAATCTACTAAATCTAAATATCTAAAATATCTCAACAATAAAGGCCTCCGCCATAATATATAAATCAAATATCAAAACAAAAATTAACACAAATTAAAACAAACCCGTAATATTCACCTTTTACTGTTTCGAAACTAACCAAAACATACAAAGCTAAAGTCCAAACACGTCCTTAAGTTTGTTGTGTATTCTCATTCTATAAATGGCAAAGCCAAATCCAAGCGAATCCATACCCATAATTCACAACGATTCATTAATTCTTCTTTCTCGTTTAGCTCAATAATTTTACAGCTTTCGTGATAATGGAGAGCAAGGTAATTTCCAGTGAATACATAGAACCATCTTCTCCGACGCCGGCACACCTCAGGACCTACAACCTCTCGATGCTCGACCAGATCATGGTACCAGTTTTCATCCCCATTGTCCTCTTCTTCCCTCCTTGTTCGAACAACACTGCCAACGACTTACATGTTTCCAAGACATCGAAACAGCTGAAACGCTCGATTTCGACCATTCTTACCCGCTTCTACCCTTTCGCCGGAAGAGCCGTCCCCGACAAGCAATACATCGACTGCAACGACGCCGGGGTTCATTTCATTGTCGCCCGATTTCCAGGTCAACGGCTGTCTGATCTTCTTAAAAAACCAGACAAGGATTTGTCCGATCAGCTCTTGCCTAGGAAAGTCAGCTGGGATTCTGAAATGGATTCTCAGTGTAGAATTTTACAAATCAAACTAAACTATTTTGACTGCGGCAGCGTCGCCATCGCGGCCCTCTTTTGGCACAAGGTAGCTGATGCTGTAACAATGGTGAATTTCTTGAAGGCCTGGGGAAGTGCAAATCGAGGAAGCAAAGAAGGAGTTTGTCCTAATTATATCTCCCAACTTCTCTTCCCACATAAGGAGGAACTGCTCGAAAAACGTCCCCCAGCGCAGCTCCTTTTCAATGAAGGAAAATGGGCAACTAAGAGATATGTCTTCGACTCCATTGCAATTTCGTCCCTCAAGGCCAAATCAGGCCTGGAGAACCCTACCAGGGTGGAGGCTGTCTCAACATTTCTCTGGAACTGTTTCATTACAGCATCCTTAAAAAATGGCAAATCAGCTTCAGCCATGGCCGTTGCTGCCAACTTGAGAGGGCGAGCTCATCCTCCCTTCCCATCAGATTGTTTCGGGAATTTCATTTCCATTACAACAGCATCAAGCATAAATCGAACAACAGGAGAATACAAAGAGCTAGCAAGGAAATTTAGGGATACCATTAAAAAAGTGGATGGTGAATATGTTAGCAGTATACAAGGAGATGGAGGGCTTTTGGGGTTAGAGAAGATACAGTCGATGTATGCAGAAGTCCCCGATGGGGCCGATCTTCTGTCTGTGTCAAGCTGGTGCCGATTTGGTGGTTATGACATTGACTTTGGATGGGGAAAGCCTCTTTGGATGACAACATATGTCCATGGAGGTAGTGATATGGAGACATCCAAGTACATTAATCTAGTTGGGTTAATGGACACCAGAAACGGGCATGGAATCGAGGCGTTGGTGACTCTTGGTGAGACATACATGCCCTTCTTCGACGCCATTGAAGAGCTGCACGACCTCGCTTGCGTAGAACCAAGTCCGCTGGACTACGTGCATTCTCTTGAGTAAATATTTTCTATATGGAGTAATCATAATTACTATCTCGTAAAAATATCCTCATGATTTTAAGTAGGAATTTTAATAAAAATATGGATTTTGGTTACTTTTTAATTTTTATGGTAAATAAAAATATATAAACCGTACTCCATCTGTTTCGGTCCAAAGGAATCTTTGGGGTTTTGTAGTAATTAAAAAATAATAATATTTTATTAGTTATGTGTGTAAGAAGTTTGGATATTTTTATCCTTTAACTTTATGTAATGATATTTATAATTTAAATAAAAATTAAAGGTATTTTGGTACTAGTGTATGAATATTTTTATTAAATAAATATTTTAGAATAGAACATACGAAAATAGTAAAAACAGATATTTTGAATGAGACGAGAGAGTATGATGTTTTACTAACTTAAAAAATTAGAATGTCTCTTAAGAGATGGACAAGAAAATAAAAGGAAAATAAGAATGTTGTGCACTTTCAATGCAGAAGCAAAAGAACCTTTTTTTTTTTTTTTTTTGAAGTATGATCGTTTTGCAAAATTTCAAAAAAATTTTATTGCAGAATAAGTTTCTAACTTTATTTATTTTTTTTTTTTAGTGCATCATGAATGCAAAAGAATTGCTGCCAAGTTCCTTTTATAGTTCCAGAAAGTGAGGATAAATTCAGGTGTCAGAAAAACTGAGTTAATATGGGGAAAATAGAGGTAATCAAGGATTTAAACTTCAGAAAAATTCATAAGCGCTTCCTTGCAAGATTTTTTTTCACTACAAAAAAATAATATATTTGTAACGGAATTCCGTCCCTAAAGTTCACGTAGCTAACGTAATTTCATTCCTAATTTCGTCTCTAATGTCATTAGTAACGGAAAAAATAGATTTAGAGACAAAAAAGTTTTGTTACAAAAATAATTTTTTCTTATAGTATTTTTTTATTGCCGAATAAGTTTCTAGCTTGATTTTTATTTTTGCAATCCAGAATTGAGGCAAACAAGAGCACATGCTACTTATCAACTATTGTCACTTCCTGCTCATACAATTCATGATTTTATCATAGTGTTGTTGCATAAATTAATTATGAGTTTTTTCAAAAACAAACACAGACTTACTATCTTTAATTGAGCAACTGGCAACTAAGGGATGGTGTGGTAGTATGGAATTAACTCATGATCGTATGGTTTTACCTGTCACACATGACTGGATTTGTGTGACTTGTTTTGTCGGATTTAATTTGTATGGTACTAAGTTCAATTAGAGTTTACTTAGAGAGTATTCCAAAGTAGCCATTACGAATTCTCACGACGTAAAATGTATATATATAGAGTATCGGAAGTTGGAACAAAAGGAAGAAATATACTAAGAAAAAGAAAAAGGTAAATAAATAAAAGCAACTTTTTTGTGGAGAGAATAAAAGATAACTAGAAGAGAACACTTTAATTTATTTATTCCAATGATTTGCAAACTATAATTATTTATAGGACTTGAAATCTACCTATCAAAACTAATCTTAATTCTACCTATCAATATAGAAAAATTTGTTCAATGTATGGTTTGTAGGCCATCAACTCTTCCATCAACCCCCACCAAATTTCATTGGAAACAATGAAATAGTTGGTAATTTTATTTTTATTAGTTTTTTAAATAAAGTTTAATTCTTAGCAGTCTCCTTTAAATTTGATTTATTACTACAAGAGCCTTCCGCATCTTTTGAAAGTCTTCAAATTTCAATGGCTTCGTAAATATGTCTGCAATTCGAATCCACATATTGAAGCTCTACGCTTTCTTCTCAATGCTTTACCAAATGAAATGAAAGCGAGTATCCATATGCTTACTTCGACCGTGGTGGATGGGATTCTTGGCCAAAGCAATAACCGACTTATTGTCTACCATGATCCTCGTAGACTCCATTTGCTTGCAGTGGAGTTCTTTCAACAATCTTTAAAGCCAAATGGCGTGACGGGTACTCGATGTTGCAACAACATATTCCGACTCACAAGTGAAGAACGAAACAATCAGTTGTTTTTTTGAGCACTAAGAGATTGCATTATTTCCCATGAAAAAAAAACAAATCTCGTAGTGTTTTTTCTATCGTCAATATCTCCACCATAATTGCTATCACATTATGCCATCAGCTTGGAAGTATTGGAAGATGAATAAATCAAGCCAAAACGAAGGGCACCTTTGATATATCGAAGTATCCTCTTTGACACCATTCAATGTGCTTTTTTAGGAATTTTCATGTAACAACTCACTATTCCTACCGAAAATAAAATATATGGTCTAGTGCAAGTCAAATACCTTATATTTCCATAAAAACTTTTGAATGTGGTAGAACCAACACGTTTTTCATCCTCCTTAGTTTTGAACAATTTTGCTCCATTCTTCATGGGTGTGCTCTCCGGTTTGTTTCCAAATATATTGAACTTATTTTACATAGCTTTCTTGGGAGATAAAAATTCGTTCCTCAATTAGATTCACTTGAATTCCCAAATAACACGACACTATCCAATGTCACTCATTTCAAGTTCTTGAGTCACAGACTTCTTGAAATCTTCAACCATAATCGGATTTCACATGTCCATCTTCCACCTTCCTATAGAGTACATACTTTCTTTGGCATCTTGAAACTTCATTATCTTACAAATATTTGTCATGACGGCTATTCAATGCTCGAGGGGTTTGCTTGAGCCTATAGAGTACCTACCATCTTCAACTTCAAGACTTTATCTTCATGGCCTTGAACAACATAATCGAGTGGTTGCTTAATAGACACATCCTTCTTAAGTTATCCATTGAGAAAAGCGGATTTAACATCCAATTGATATATCTTCCAATGAATTTACTCCGAGAGTGAGATTAGTAGCCGATTGTCTTCAATTAGGCCACTGAGGAAAATACTTCCTCATAATCAACTCCATACTTTTGCGTGTAGCCTTTGCTACTAATTGAGCTATGTCCCTTTCAATCTCTCCCTTGTCATTCTTCCGTTTCTTATGTATCCATTTGACACCAATACTTTGATGACTAAGTGGTCACGGTACTAGTTCCCATATGTCATTCTTTTCAATGGGATGAATCTCTTCATCTACAACTTGAATTCATTTATTCTCCTTCCTAACTTTTTGAAAAGACATAGATTCGACATCCATCAACAAACACAATAGATTGTAATCATCCCCATTCTGATATCTTGGAGTTCTCTCACTTGATATTATTGTAATCATCGATAGTCCGATATCTTTGATTTCTCTCACTTAATGTTGATGCCTCCAATGCTGATGAAGGTGGCGTAGTTGTTGGAGTGATCTCCCCTCAATATTTGCAGCTTATTCTTCATCTTTAAAGTATGAGAGAAAATCATACGATCCAATCTTGTTAGAACTCTAGTTCCACAATTCAAGGTCATGGAACTCCACGTCACAACTCATCCCAAACTTTTTATTATGTGGGTCAAACAACCTATACGTTTTTTAGTTTTCATCATAGTTAAGGAAGACTACTTCGTGCTACGATCATTGAGTTTTGATCTCTCTTCCTTGTGAACATATGCATAGGCAATGAATCTGAATACCTTCAAAGGGCAACGTAAATGACAAACATTTTCAAAAGATAAGAAACCTGAAAGAAGAGTCATATAAACTTTCTTAGAAAAAACGTCACGCAAAAAAATATTTTTTACATATAGCTAAAGAAAAGACCAATGACAAACAACAACTATAAGGAGCAACAAACAATAATGAGTCGAACAACTGGAGCAAAAATCTCCTTATAGTCAATTGCAAATTTTTTACATGCTTTCCAATTAGTTTTACAAAATATACAATATATATGCATGTATTCACACAAAATTATATAATATATACTTTTATCTACTTAAAAATATTAAGAATTTAATACAAGATATATTATTTTTTATATTATCACATTTTCAATATACACAAAATATTTCAAATTAAAAATATAAACCAAACACACAAGTAAAATCTAAATGTATTTTTTATAAAAAAAGAATTATTATTAATTTTTCATTAAATATTACTCTTAAAATTAAAACTAAAATTAAAATAGAAAAATAAACCTCGAAATATATAAACTATTTGAATGTAATGTATTTTTCAAAATTTATAAAAAAGTTGATGAAATTTCGAAAAAATAATATGAATGAATTTATGTTTTAATATAATCTTTTTATTTGATTACAAGAAATTTTTTGATTAAACAAAAAATATACTACATATTGTTAAACAAAAATTCCAAAATCATAAATCTTTGAAGGGGGCCAATTTTAAATTTTTCTAAACTAAAAAAATAGTTTGGTATGAAATATCAAATACTCCCTCCGACCATACAATAAGTATACATTTACTTTTTATGCGGAGTTTAAGAAATAATAGTATTTTAATTATATTAGGTAGGTAAAAGTAGTGTAATGATATTTTTGTCCTTACCTTTTGGTATAAAAGTAATGATGTGATGTAAAGTAAGGATATTTGTGGAAAAAAGTGGGGTATTTAATGAAATGGTTACTTTGTAATTAGACGTCCTAAAATAGAAATATGTATACTTTGTAGTTGGACGGATGGAGTATATACTTTATATTGTTTTAAAATTTTTGATAGATTAAAAGAGAATATTTATACCGCAGAGATTGGGTATTACGAAATATTGGTATGACAAAGGGTATATACCAATATCGTGAAATTTTAATATATTTCATCCGTTCCATGTAATATGGGTGCATTATTGTAGATACGAGAATTTAGGTAAAATATAATTAGTAAGTAATTAAGAAGTGTGTTAGTAAAAATAATTATAAATTTAGATTAAAATAACTAAATAGTTTAATTAAGATTAAAAAATATAAAATTTAAATTTTAAAATGTTATTAAAGTGTATAATTATATTTCCGAAAGAGGAAATGACAAATTATGCGAGTCTGACGAAAATAAAAAATATTTACAAATTATGTGAAACAAAGAGAGTATCATTTTTTTTATAATATCATTATATATCTTTTCATACCAAAATACTAAAATTAAAAAGAAAAATTTTGGTATCAATACAGTGAATTATTGATATAAATCTATAAATTGAATACCAAACTACTACAATAATATACTGTATTTTCTATATATACCAAAAATATATATCAAAAATATTAAATTATATACCATTATTGTACTAAAAAAATTCGATATGG